TGTGCCAGGTACACAGCTGCTTGCTTGCTCTTTCAGCCTCCTGCAGCTGCTCCAGCACCAGGGTCCCAAAGCAGGAAAGATGTTGCAGGCCTCTAGTGCTGTTTGTGCCATATTTTTTTCCAGAGATGTGTTGATATACGTAAAGTTGCTGCGTACACGTGGTCTCAAACTCTGGGCACATCCTTTTCACCCAGTCTTAAGGACTCTGCTTGGGGCTTTTGGTCAGGAAAGGGGCAGAGAAGATGTCAAAGGGATTGTCTCCTCCTTCCTTAAAATGAGGTTGCTGACTACAGGTGTCATGTGCACAGCAGAACCGTGCTGAAAGCAAATATCCCATGTCCTGGTTAGTGCCACCCTGGGTTAGGCAGTGTGCCTGTGTCATCCCTCCTGTCACCCAGCATGTGGGCTCCCTGTGCGCGAGATGAATCAATCTCAGTGGCATTTGGCAACAGATTGTATGGTAAAAAAGGAGCCAGTGGGGCTCCAGTTTACCTCAAGCCCTATAAACATATGTGTTTATAAACATAGGTGTTTACAGCATTTAAATCACTTGAAATGATAGTTAATTGTCCCAGTGCAGTATGGCTAACAAGACAGAGAGCAAAGTTTTCCTGGGAGGAGTATGTGCATGTTTTCCATTAGTAGTCAGACAGAGGCCAGGGCAGAGGAAAAGGCATGAGAACAGCTTTTAACCATGACCTCATGAAGAGATTTCCGAGCTCTGAGCTCAGCTCTGTTGCATGATTGAACAAGTGGAAGAAAGCACAACTGATTCCAGGCTACTGGTTGCTTTATTGGTATCTTATTTTTATTTTATAGCAAACTTCCTGAATTAGGGTTCCTGGGGTATAAAAGCCCCAGATGGAAAAATAGGCACATATTTTTGGTTTGTGGGCAGAGAGACAACAGTCTCAGGACAAGTTGTAGCTGCTGTACAGATGTTGCATATATGGCCTGTGAGTCCCGTGCACTCCAGATGCATCCAGCCTGTGGTGCATTGGTGTCAGGGTTAATGGATGGTGGAGGTGCTGGGCTTTGTCTGCAGAGTCAACCTCATACCTGTGTAGACATTTTCAGGATCTGGAGTCTCTGGTTTGGTTTTGTGGAGGTTTTTTTGTTCAGTTTTGTTTGTTTTTCTTTTTGTTTATTTCTGCCTTGTCAAAGCTTCCAAACAGGAAAAAGACAACTGGCAGGGAAGAAATCTCAACAAAGTGAAGAACAGAGATGGAAAGCTTGGATGGAGTTCTGCAGACCTTCTTTGCACAGATCCTGATTCCTGCTCAAACTCAGGCTACTTGCATGAATAAGTAGTGCCTGGGTGAGAAAGGAGTTTGAATCAGGCATCCTAACCTGCAGTCTCTTCTGCTCAGTCTGGGGTTTCCTGAGGTGAAGCCTTGAAAAGCAGTTCAAGGTATTCCTGGCTTCTCACCTAATTGTGCTGGCAAGGCAAAGGCAGCCTGGTGCTGTGGTGTGGGAGAGGAAATGAGCTGCAGGGAAGGGTAAGAGCACCTTAAACCAGCGTTGCCACTAGTGACTTCACTATGTGAGACCACAGCATTTTTCATGCACGTATGTGCTGTGGTTGATGACAGCAACCAGTTAGTGAATGCTGAAAGGAAGCAAAAGAAGGGAGTGGGGCCTCTGCTCCTCTGGCTGCATGGGCAGGCAGTGCTTTGCTATAGTCAGCGTGGCTGTCAACTTGTGAGCAATGCCTTGGGCTGTGGGATCATAGGCTACGCCTAACTGAAATCCACAAGGGCATCTGTTAAGTCTTAAAACCAGAGACTTGTAGAATTAAGATAAATGAGGGCCTTACAAACTTTGTGGCTATTGCAGAAGAAATTACAGGGCTCTCTCTCTCTCTATATATATAGCCAGTCAAGTGGTTTCTGTGTATTTGGACTGCAGACATATGAGAAGGAAGGCTTCAGCCCAGCCAAACTGAATTCCCTGCACAGGGGATTCATGTAAGGTCAGCAGCTTTACAGCCCAAAACTGTGCCTCTGTAATCATTAAGGACACATATAGGAAGCTGCCCAGGCAGATGTATCACCCACTTTCCTTCCCACACTGTCTGATTTTAGGTTTTGATATTACTAAAAGCTTCAGTAAGGAACAGTTTTTATCGTGTCAGATGTTACAAGTTGTCTGTGCCAGTTTCCAACTAGGAGTGTGGGTTTTCAAGGCTGGTGCCTTTCCGAGAGCTGGAAGGAGGAATAATATACCAGGGCTGGAATTTCCTGGTGAATTGGAAGAAGCTGTAAAACCTCCCACTGGGGGATCTGTGACAGTGCAACAGACTGACAGCCTTGTCCGGCTTCCCTTGCAGAAGCATAAAAAGGCCATGTGAAGCTGCAGATGCTTTCCCTGATTACTAATGAGAGAAAATCCTAATTCCTTGGCTGGTTTTCCTCACAGGACAAATGCTCAGTGTTCTTGGTGTGGTGTATTTTTCTTTTAAACTAGATTTTTGAAATCTTGAGTACTGGGAATCTCAGAAGCTCCAGGAAAAAAAAATAGTCTTCTCTCCTTTTCCAGCCACAATTCTTAGTAGAGATATATTGCACATGAAAGTGATATTTCCCCATGGAAATAATTCTCAGATATAAAATTAATTACAAATTTCAAATCTCTCAAAACAAAGCTTTTTTAAGTGTACTCTGGAAATGAAAAATATCCTGAAGAGAAAATACTGAACTGAATTAACAGACTCATTCTTCCCCATAGCCTCCTCTCCTCCTCCTCTCCCCTCCCCTCCCCTCCCCTTCCCTTCCCTTCCCTTCCCTTCCCTTTCTTTCCTTTTTCCCCCCTGCTCTGCATATCTTCATTTGTTTGACAGTATCCCTCTTGCTGGTAAAATACTAGTTTTGACAATAAATTCTTATTTAGGAAAGGATCAAAGGTCCAGGGCAGGTAAAATACTAGTTTTGACAATAAATTCTTATTTAGGAAAGGATCAAAGGTCCAGAGCAGAGTTGAGAGAGAGCAGTTGAATGCCAAATCCCAGGTGGGCCAGCAGTGAAGTGTTTGCTTGCAAGATGGGAGCCACAGTCAGGCAGCCTCTGCTCTGAATGTGTCAGTATTTATGTAGACTGGAGCAAGGGCAGCAGGAGATGTGGAGGCATCCCATGGTAGCTGGCACCATGGTGGCTAGCTCTGTTTTCTCTGATGTGGGCTGTGGCACATGGGTGGGTGTCTGAGCTGTGGGGCTGTTGGCATTTATTTTTTTTAGGGAAGATGAAAACACTTTTTTTGAAAGGTTTGAACTTCATTCAGATGTGGGATGGGAACATACTTGTGGAGGGGTGAAGCAGATCCACCCAGGCCTGCTCACACCCAGTAGTTAGGAAGATGAAGGGTGCTGGTCTGCAGTTCAGGTCTGTAATGTCGAGCACTACCCAGGTAATACACAGTCTGTGGACCCATGCAGATGAGTTAATTCATGTTTGCAGCCTTTCAGAGAATTTCCATGCAAAACTACCCAACTATAGTGTACACCAGTCAAAACAGGACACACAGCTGCCTTCCTTCTATGCCTGCTGGTGTGCTCTGCTCTTCTGTCAGAGGAGGGAACGAGCTGTAGTGGGGCGAGTTGGTAGCAATGCTGACAACAACAGGCAAAATGAGGGGCAACAGAAAGGCTTATGCAACCAGGCTACTTTTGTGAGACAACCATCAAGTAAACCTGGTTGCTCTGGAGACAATCTTTGTTTTATTTAGAACTGCAACTGGAGGAGAGCTGATAGCTTCAAAGGCACACTTGTATCTGGGAAGTTTGTATCGGATCACATCTCCTTGATAACAAACACCAGTGACTGGTGCAGACTGAAACATTTTGTGGATGCTGTCCCCATACTGAGCATGTTTGACACCTCTTTCTGTACATTTGCCTTTTGAATAGGGAGCTGGAGATGCACTGAAGTGTTTAGCACTTACAATTTTAGCATATTGAAGTGTTTTCTCATAGACTTTTGCAGAATTTTAATTTTGATTTTTATTTAAGTGTGTTTGATTTACTGGGTCTCTTTTTTTTTTTCCCCCACAGTGAAGCTTCTTAAATTTAATACTCTCTTATGTGTTTCATTTTCCTATGTGTATTCCATTCCTTGGAAAAGCTTCCTAAATGTAGAGGTGAAATAATGATTGATTTAGAAAAAGCAGGTTACAAAAGTCAGAACAGACCTGCTAGAGGGATGCAAGATTTTGGGGTTTACTTCTCCTCATACTCCCTGTGCATGCATATAACCTGTGTTATATTTCCCTGAGTCTACTAAAGGAGAGCAAAGTTAGAGATGTCCTGCAAGTTATACATACAAGACACAGTATTACAGTTGAAGATCCAGAGCAATTCAAAATTAGAAGCATTGTAATGCGTCGTTCTGGACACCAGACAGCAACATTTCCATTTTAATTCCTCCTGCAGCACTTGGATAATTCAGTGATTAAAATAATAAAATTTAAAAAATCCAAAAAGATGGTTTACACTTGAAGAACATGATACTGTGAAATCTTCCTTGGGCTGCTGCCTGGGACTTACATTCAGAGGAAAACACAAGACTGCCCTCAAAGCTTTTGTTTAGTTTGTGTTTAGTATTTTCTTCTTATCTGTGAATTGTGGTTTTTGCTTTCCTTAGGCTTTCTTTTACTTTTTAGTGACAGGAAGAAGAAAAAAAAAAAGAAAAAAAAAGATGAATTATGGCTCTTGGAAGCAAAAAACAGGCTGTTTGATTACCACTGCTGGGAATGTTATGTAGTGAATCTGTGGATGAGGGAGTAGGTGGTTCTACTTCTGCTCGTCTCACAACTCATCAATGTGATCATAAACAGCTGAATTTGTCTCAGGCTTGTAACTCTGCTTGTAACCACACCCACTTCAGCTTGGAGTACATGCTTAATCATTAGTGCAGGCTAAAAGACGTTTCTGGGAGGTGTGATGTTTGAGGTTGTTCTATGTTTTGAGCTTCTGCTTCTGGCTGCTGAAGTGTGTGTATACATGAAAGTGTGCTTTTGTCTATGCTCACAATCTGTTTACTTTGTTTCCAGGGCTCATCACAATAAAAGAAGCCCATGATATAGAAGCCAGGCTTAATGAAGTGGAAAAGCTTCTGAAGACTATTATAAACATGCCCTGGAAGGTGAGTAAGCCAAGTTCCACCTTTAGCCCAGCTTGACTGGGCTGGCAAACACTCTCATGCAGATTAGGAAGTGATGGGCTTTGCCAGACTCTAAAAGAAGCACCGATTTCTGAAGTATCTTGGAGAAGGGCTGAGTGCCAGAACTGTGTAATGATGTCTCCAGGCTGTTGCTTGTAATAAGTCATTCTGTTGTACTACAAAGGAGTACTACAAAGGGAGAAGAGGGACAAAGCAAATTACTGGTAAAGAATGGACGTCTGTTTCTTTTTCTCTTTTTAAGTATTCAAGATCTGAAGTTGTCCTTACGTTCTTTGAGAGATCTCCTTTGGACCAAGTTCTAAAAAATGACAATGTCCATAAAATTCAGCCAAGCTTTCAAAGTCCAGTTAAGATATCAGGTAAGAGTTGTTAACTTCCTACAGTTGACACAAGAATTACAGAATGAAATTACTTTATTTTCCACTCCCCTTATTCTCTCTCTACTGGCAATTCAAAAGATAGTTCTCCACAGTCTACTTTATAATATAGAACATATTGATGTGCTATGCAACATGCATTTGGGCAATGAAGTGGCAACTGAAATCAAAGGCTGATAAATGCAAAGAAATGGATGGGAAGAAAATGCAGTCCTCACTGTCATCACATATGATAGTGCTTAGGAAGGAGACTTTTGAGGCTGTTGATACAGTTCTGTGAAAATGTAAGCTCAGTGCCAAGCAGTGGTATTATTACAGAAGGAGGGGGAGAACAAAAGAAAGGAGCACCACCCCATCTTGTATACAGTGTGCACAATTCCATCTCAGAAAGGTTATAATAGAATTTAAAGGCATATAAAGGACAAGAATTCAAATTGAACAGCTTCTCTGAGAAAAAAATCAAATCAAGGAGAATACTTCAACTTTGAGAAGAGATGATAGAGTGGGGAATATGATGGAAGTCTCCAAAGCTGTGAATAGAAGGAGGTCAATTACCCTGTGCTTCTCATGAAACAAGAACTATAGGTTATCCAATAATGCTGACAGACAACAGACTTTAAAGAAACAAAATAAAGGTTATAACAATGTTTTGTTTCCATATGGAGAACAGTTAAAGAGTAGACCTCATTGTCATAGGATATGGTGCAACTGAAAGCATAAATGACTTCAAAAAGGAGTTAGACAAGCAAGTGGAGAAAAAATACATTGAGACCTGTCACAAGCTGCTAGACTGCAGATTGCTAGTGGGTAAGATGGAGAGCAATATTACTCTATCCTTGTCTGTTCTTTCAGCCTTTGTTCTCTTCATCTGCTACTGACCATTGTTAAAATGTTTGGGGCCTTTTGGTATGCCTGGTTTTGTATTTCTATACTGAGAAGTTGTGTCAGCCTAATGACAACTGCTGGGTTTGTGTTACCAGAAGAGTTTATTTCAGAAAGTGAAAGAGAAGTGAAATATTACATAGTCTTTGAAGGTGCATAAAGTCTTTAGTGTGAACCTGGTATCAGTTTTCTTAGTGACTAGCAGTATATGGGCTAATGGCCCATCAGAGTGTCAGCACACTGCAGGTGTAAACAATGCAGAATATGGTTTACAGAACCATCTTAAGGATCAATCGTACACACAGGGTAGACTTTCTGTAATTGATCCTGAGCTCTGGTTCTAAGCAAATTAGTCCTCTGTTAAATAAATATTATTTTAATTAAATGGCAAATTGTTTATGAGCCCACCAGGAACCCCTTAGAAATGTACTTTGTAATACAGGGCTTCGGTGAGAAGTGTAGTCATGCCAGGGTGGTTGCTGTCAGGAATACCTTGCTCTTTTTGCAAACAGGCAAATACCAAGAATAGGTGTATTTGGAATGGCATTGGTTTGAAACTGCAGTGTTGCTCTGGTTTGGGGCTTTTTGCTGTTTGGAAAGGTTGCATGTAATTTTTGTGAGGGTGTGTACCCCCTTAGGGCACACATACTCTTGTGTGTGTGAGACTATGTCACCTGGTGGGTACAACAGAGGGATGGTCCAGATGAACATAAAGTCAGAGTGAGGGTGCCTGGCTGATGGACAGAGGCTGGCAGCAAAGGGAACCCTCCTGTCAGCGTCTGTGTAGAGAGGCTGTGGAAACCATGTTAGCTGAATAATACGATGTTTTGTTTTAATTCTAAATTAATTTTAGAGATGAGTCATACCTAGTTAATTGGAGGGAGATTTTCCTACCTATGCAGCTATTCAAAAGCTATTCATGTGGTAATTAGTTTTATCAGTTGATTGCTGCGAAGAATCTAAGAGCATAGGTGGAAATTTGATGATAATTGGTATTTACCTTGGGAGAATGTTGCACACTGGAAACTGTTCCAGTAGATGGCAGCAAATGTTAACTTCTGAAGCAGCTCGTAGGGCCGTGAAATGCTCTCTTTGGTCATGCCAAGGACAGTAGGAAAACACGGGTAAGGCATTCGTTTTAGTCCTAGTGCAGCTTTTTACGTGGCTTGCAGACTTAGAAAAGCGAGCAAAAATGTTTTGTATTCTTTGAAAACAAACAACCCTGTCCCCCACATGGTCCAGTTCAGAGTGGCAGCTGATGGGGAAGACAGGACAGGCCAACCTCTTACATGAAAGCTGAATTTGAATTTATGGTGTAAATCTTATTCTACAGTACAGTGTTGGTTCAAGATGAGTCCGGAATGAAGTGTGATTCTGCTGGGGTTCAGTGTTTTTACCACCCCCAAACTTATTCTGCTAAAGTCAGTAACAGTAAAATACAGACTGAAAAGTCAAATATGACTTACTCAAGAAAAATATGGAATTACATTCTGCCTTTACCTTAATGTAGGAACATGTAAAGATACACTTAAAAAATTATCTCTCTTCATTCTCTTCTCTCCTCTCCTGCTCATTACTTGAGCTGTAGGTATAGTTGAAATCGGTCTGTTTGAGGATTCCTTGTACCTATGTTTTGTGCCTACCATGTTTTCTGTGAAAGAGTAATTTCCTTTTGTGAAGGAGGTCAATTACCCTGTGCTTCTCATGAAACAAGAACTATAGGTTATCCAATAATGCTGACAGACAACAGACTTTAAAGAAACAAAATAAAGGTTATAACAATGTTTTGTTTCCATATGGAGAACAGTTAAAGAGTAGACCTCATTGTCATAGGATATGGTGCAACTGAAAGCATAAATGACTTCAAAAAGGAGTTAGACAAGCAAGTGGAGAAAAAATACATTGAGACCTGTCACAAGCTGCTAGACTGCAGATTGCTAGTGGGTAAGATGGAGAGCAATATTACTCTATCCTTGTCTGTTCTTTCAGCCTTTGTTCTCTTCATCTGCTACTGACCATTGTTAAAATGTTTGGGGCCTTTTGGTATGCCTGGTTTTGTATTTCTATACTGAGAAGTTGTGTCAGCCTAATGACAACTGCTGGGTTTGTGTTACCAGAAGAGTTTGTTTCAGAAAGTGAAAGAGAAGTGAAATATTACATAGTCTTTGAAGGTGCATAAAGTCTTTAGTGTGAACCTGGTATCAGTTTTCTTAGTGACTAGCAGTATATGGGCTAATGGCCCATCAGAGTGTCAGCACACTGCAGGTGTAAACAATGCAGAATATGGTTTACAGAACCATCTTAAGGATCAATCGTACACACAGGGTAGACTTTCTGTAATTGATCCTGAGCTCTGGTTCTAAGCAAATTAGTCCTCTGTTAAATAAATATTATTTTAATTAAATGGCAAATTGTTTATGAGCCCACCAGGAACCCCTTAGAAATGTACTTTGTGATACAGGGCTTCGGTGAGAAGTGTAGTCATGCCAGGGTGGTTGCTGTCAGGAATACCTTGCTCTTTTTGCAAACAGGCAAATACCAAGAATAGGTGTATTTGGAATGGCATTGGTTTGAAACTGCAGTGTTGCTCTGGTTTGGGGCTTTTTGCTGTTTGGAAAGGTTGCATGTAATTTTTGTGAGGGTGTGTACCCCCTTAGGGCACACATACTCTTGTGTGTGTGAGACTATGTCACCTGGTGGGTACAACAGAGGGATGGTCCAGATGAACATAAAGTCAGAGTGAGGGTGCCTGGCTGATGGACAGAGGCTGGCAGCAAAGGGAACCCTCCTGTCAGCGTCTGTGTAGAGAGGCTGTGGAAACCATGTTAGCTGAATAATACGATGTTTTGTTTTAATTCTAAATTAATTTTAGAGATGAGTCATACCTAGTTAATTGGAGGGAGATTTTCCTACCTATGCAGCTATTCAAAAGCTATTCATGTGGTAATTAGTTTTATCAGTTGATTGCTGCGAAGAATCTAAGAGCATAGGTGGAAATTTGATGATAATTGGTATTTACCTTGGGAGAATGTTGCACACTGGAAACTGTTCCAGTAGATGGCAGCAAATGTTAACTTCTGAAGCAGCTCGTAGGGCCGTGAAATGCTCTAACTCTTTGGTCATGCCAAGGACAGTAGGAAAACACGGGTAAGGCATTCGTTTTAGTCCTAGTGCAGCTTTTTACGTGGCTTGCAGACTTAGAAAAGCGAGCAAAAATGTTTTGTATTCTTTGAAAACAAACAACCCTGTCCCCCACATGGTCCAGTTCAGAGTGGCAGCTGATGGGGAAGACAGGACAGGCCAACCTCTTACATGAAAGCTGAATTTGAATTTATGGTGTAAATCTTATTCTACAGTACAGTGTTGGTTCAAGATGAGTCCGGAATGAAGTGTGATTCTGCTGGGGTTCAGTGTTTTTACCACCCCCAAACTTATTCTGCTAAAGTCAGTAACAGTAAAATACAGACTGAAAAGTCAAATATGACTTACTCAAGAAAAATATGGAATTACATTCTGCCTTTACCTTAATGTAGGAACATGTAAAGATACACTTAAAAAATTATCTCTCTTCATTCTCTTCTCTCCTCTCCTGCTCATTACTTGAGCTGTAGGTATAGTTGAAATCGGTCTGTTTGAGGATTCCTTGTACCTATGTTTTGTGCCTACCATGTTTTCTGTGAAAGAGTAATTTCCTTTTGTTTGTGCTGATAAGGCAAGTATGTAATACAAAGTCCTTGTACGTTGAGGCAAATATGAGGCTGCATATGAGCCAGCAGTGTGCCCAGTTGGCCAAGAAGGCCAAAGGCATCCTGGCTTGTATAAAAAATAGTGTGGTCAGCAGGACTAGGGAAGTGATTTTCCTCCTGTACTCGGCACTGGTGAGGCTGCACCTCAAATCCTGTGTTCAGTTCTGGGCCCACCCACTACAAGAAGGACATTGAGGTGCCAGAGGGAGTCCAGAAAAGGGCAGCAAAGCTGGTGAAGGGTCTGGAGCAGAAGACTTATGAGGAGCAGCTGAGGGAACTGGGGCTGTTTATAGTCTGGAGAAGAGGAGGCTGAAGGGAGACCTTATTGCTCTCTACAGCTACCTGAAGGGAGGGTGTAGTAAGGTGGGGGTTGGTTTCTTCTCCCATGTAACAAGCAACAGGACAAGAGGGAATGGCCTCAAGTTGTGTCAGGGGAGGTTTAGATTGGATATTAGAAGATGTGAGAAGTTTGGAAGGTATTTAAAAATATTATGTTGTGACTTACTTATAATTTATTTTAAAATATTTTTTATACTATAGATAGTATAAACTCAGTAAATTACTAATTTATTCTGTGTTGCTCCAACTTGGGGCAAGAGACTGCAGAAACTGTAGCCTTTATTTATACTTCATGTGATAATGAATATTGCACTGCAACAGTCTGCCTAGAGAAGTTGTGGGTGCTCCCTCCCTGTAAGTGTTTAAGGCCAGGTTGGACAGGGCTTTGAGGAACCTGGTCTAGTGGAAGCTGCCCTTGTCCAGGCAGGGAGTTTGGAAATAGATGATCTTTAAGATCCCTTCCAAGCGAAAACATTCTACGATTATAGAAGAAATGTCTTCACTGAAAGGGTAATTAAACACTGGAATGGGCTGCCCAAGGAGGTGGTTGAATCACCATTCCTGAAGGTGTTTAAAAGACATGTAGATGTGGTGCTTGGGAATGTGGTTTAGCACTGGGCTTAGTAGAATTTGGTTATGGTTGGACTTGAACATCTTAAAGGTCTTTTCCAACCAGAACAATTCTGTGATTCTGTGAAATCAGAAGTCATCCCGCTTAAGTCAGTGCTGATTTAAATGGTGATACATGTTTCCCGATGGCCCTAGCTTCATCTGAGATGGTGTGACCAGAAAGAATCCTTGACTTGACTAGTCTGCCTTTCCATGTAGCACATATGTAGATTAACTTCTCATTCACATCAAATACTATTATTTAATTATAAACTCTCCCTGTGGTAGGAAGTCAGTGGAATTAGGGGAATTTTAGCTATTCTGGTTTGGAGGCTTACTACACAGTGAGAAACAAATAAGTAGAGTTGAGTGCAACATAGAAGATGACATTGTTTTACATGCCTTAAGGATGGTGGATGAATTAACTTGGAAAGTCACTTTTTATTTTCTTCTTCCTGTCTTTTTTTTTTTTTTTTGGCTTAACTGGCTTAAGTCTGGGACTGTTTAGGAAAAATACAAATATGTTTTGGTAGTGGGAAGGCTGCAATAGATAGATGGGCTGCCATTCTGCTAAGGGTGACAAGAAATTTGCCACTGGCAATAACAAGACTGAAACTGGGCCTTGCTTCAAATGTTTCGTATAATGAATTGATTACATGAATGAAATTGTTTAGGCACTGGCAGTTGGCAGATGTAAGAAGCTAAGAAACCAGCTCTTCTTTCCTGCTTTCATGTACAGATTTTCAATGTCGTACACATATCCTGGTTCATAACCATGTCAATTCACAGAATCACAGAATCACAAAATCGTGTTTGGAGTTGGACGGGACCTTGAAGATCATCAAGTTCCAACTCCCCTGCATGGGCAGGGACACCTCCCACTAGAACAGGCTGCTCAGAGCCCCACCCAACCTGCCCTTGAACACCTCCAGGGATGGAGCCCCCACAACATCTCTGGGCAGCCTGTTCCAGTGTCTCACTACCCTCACACTGAAGAATTTACGCCTGATCTCTAACCTAAATCTCTCTGAAAAGTTTACAACCATTACCCCTTGTCCTCTCACTGCAAGCCCCGGTGAAAAGTCCTTCCCCAGCTTTCCTGTAGCCCCTTCAGGTACTGAAAGGCCAATATGAGGTTCCCCCAGAACTTTCTCTTTTTCAGGCTGAAAAAATCCCAGCTCCCTCAGCTTGTCTTCATGAAGAGAGGTGCTCCAGCCCTCAGATCATTTTTGTGGCCCTTCTCTGGACACGTTCCAACAGGTCCACATCTTTCTTGTGCTGGGGGACACCAGAGCTAGATGTTCTAGGTGAGGTCTGGTTCACCAGGGCAGAGTGGAGGGGCAGAATCACCTCTCTTGATCTGCTGGCCACACTTCTCTTGATACATCCCAGGGTGGAGTTGGCATTCTGGGCTGCAACTGCACATTGGTGGCTCATGTCCAGGTTTTCATCCACTAGTACCCCCAGGCCCTTTTCCACAGAGCTGCTCTCAAGAGAGACCTCCCCCAGCCTGCATTCATATCTTGGGTTACCTCGGCCCAGGTGCAGGACCCTGTACTTGGCCTTGTTGAATTCCATATGACAGGCAGTTGTTTTCTGGCTTTTTGGTGGGGTGCTGGATTTTAATCTTGTTTTTCTTTTTTCTCCCAACAGAAATCATGCGATCGAATGGATTTTGTTTAGCCAACACTGAAACAATAGTCATTGACCACAGTATACCCAATGGAAAGGAGAAGCACCTGGATGTAGATTCAGCAGAACACTTGTAAGTAGGATTTGTGCATGAGTGATGGTGTAAAGTTTCAGATAAATTGTAGCTTTATTTCCTCTCCCCCTCCCAAGTCCCCCAAAGATGTTGTCTTCTTTCTAGGAGCAGGACTGGTACTGCTGTTAGCTAAAGATTACTGGGCCTAATTGCTCAGGCTTCACAGATCTTTTGATTAAAATCAGTAAAATGGCTGTGGGTGAGAATGATCAACCCCAAGGAACTCTTGTCTTCTGTGTATGAAAAGAGTTGTGGTTGTCACAGGGGTCCTGCCAGATAAGAACAGAGGAGTATTTTCTTTCTCTCATGACAGTGATGAGAGCTGGCTTGAGCCCAAATCTAGAAACTCAAACATCTTTACAAACAGAATATCCTAAGAAGGATATGCTTTATTTGGGAAGGAAAGCATGATCCTTAGGGGGGGAAACACACCCCTCACCTTAAGCAAAGGAAGCTGAGTACTTGTTCAAGTGCTCCCACACACTCGTACTTGGTGAAACGTGTATTTCATTAGGGAGAGGGAAGTTAGACTAGTCTTTCTCATAAATTCTTCCTCCTAATATGTGTAGTTACTCTGGGGCCAGAGACTTGTAAGCAGGAGGGCTTTTATGTAGGTCTTCTGTCAGTGTTTATATTGACATGTGGACATGGATGGAAATCTGTTCCTACAGATTTCTGTCATGGTAGGTGATTGATATTTCAGTGAGCTTCAGGTAATATAGTATTTAAATATTCTTAATGAGAAATATTGACCTACTTTTTTATTACAGCAGTCAAAATTCTGGAAACAGGGCACAAAAAGCCTTGTGGAGTCTCTGTATTTGAAATCAGTGCTATCTTGCATATGAAATGTGGTCATCGCTAGTCTGCAGAAAGGTTTAGAGCTTGACAGCATTTCTAGGGGCTGGAGTTTAGCTCTGGCTCCACTGTAGTCTCTTAAAGTCTTTCTATTATCTTATCACTCAGTGTTTTGAACTCTGACCTTGCTAACTGCATTTAAGCTTATAAGCTTGTATTACTGAGGCTGAAGTGAGACTGTCTGGAAATTAAAGTTGTCATAGTGGATCAATTTTAGCACTGAGAATGACAAAAAACCAGCAGCAAATTACCAAAGAGAACCTTTTCCTTCCTTATTGTTAGTATTTAAAAAAAATAAATTAAAATATAGTTTAAATTTTAAAAACATACTGCAGCCCAAGCAAAACTTACTGGTCTGGCATCAGAAGCTGTCATCATCTAAATGTTATCCCATTTAAGTCAGAGAGTAGAAAGGCCAGAAAAATATTAATAGGACAAAAACTGTGTGGTAGGCATGGTTTCCCAGAAATTGTGACAGAAGAAATAAATCACGATAACAGTCTGGCTCTGTCCATTTGTATTTTAACTTCCCTGAAGGAAGTTAAATCAGGAGTCAAGAAGTTAATACATTTCAAATTATTATTTTACTTGGTGCCCATCCTGTAGCTGTATTTGATGGCCAAGAAGTAATGGGTAGGAGGTAATGGCACTTGTGTAGCATGACTGTTTTGTAAAAATTGAACTCTTTTTAAAAGCCGAAGTTTTCTATACTCTTGTTTTAAATGTAGGTTGGTAGCCCAAAAAGGAAGCTTTAAAATCTTTCAAAAGCCTATGTGGTTCATTTTTGGTCTCTGTAAAACAGAATTTATGGAATGGATGTTTTCTTTCTTGAAATCATAATTACTTCCTTGTGGACTTGTATATCCTCAGGTGAGAACTTTTTCTTTTCAGCAACATCAAAGTCTATATGACTTGTAGGTTTTGGCTGCCACACTACTTGAATCAGGTTTTGCAAAGCAGACCTGTGGGTTTTTTTGAGAGAAGTACTTGCAGCTTCAGCAGGTAGTAATCATTCCCTGAGGTCCTGCTGCACAGATTAGCTGTTGTAGCCTGTAGTGCCACCTACCCAGTGAACTATGAGCTGAAAAGTCTCCTACTCATTGCAAATGAAGAAGCCATACCATTTTTACAAGTTGGAGTTGCTTACTGTGTTTTTTTCTGAAGTAGTTGCATTCTTCTTCCTTCATTTGCTTTCTACTTGCAGTTGGCACTACACCTCACCATTGCAAAATGTGGTGAACCCAGTGTGCTCAGCATCCACGTGGCATAAATATTCCTTTTATGTGAGCTTCTTTGAGTACTCTGCAGTCCTTCTGAAAGGTGGTAAATAAATGCATTCAAACATCTGTTTTGCTTTTGTTACAGAAGTACATTCCCTTGCCAGGATTCTTTGCACTTCTGTCTTTTGGGCCAGCAGCTGAGGCTGTGGCATCACACATGCTGCCTTTTTGGCAAATTCACTCCAGTATTAGATGTCCATTTTCAGAATGGTGCTGCAATTGTCGCAATCAACTTGTTGGTCCATGGGAGAGGCTTCTATGGGTGGCCATGCAAAAGCAGCACAGAGATAGTGAAGTGAAATACAGAATGTTTCCAGGAAAACAAAATCCTACAGGAAGATAAAGTGCTTCCACTGTGCTTTTTGGTCTTAGTGGGGAGGAGATCTGTTCAAGTACCGCTTGTGCGTAAGGTGTTGAGAGGAGTTGGGCTGTTGTCTCATGCTGTGTTTACACTTGAGGTTGCTCCTGTGGATTAATGAGCTTCTATGTACCTTGTTTCCCTCTTCTTCCTGGCAAATGTGAGCAGTAACTCTGATGGATTAGGAGAGGTTAAAAGTATGAAGAAGCTGTCTTATAGTACACAGAGTAGGCACTGGTGGAGGATGGTGTGTCTTTCAAGGTGCTTCTGGAAAAAATAGTGAGAGCATCAATTTGGGCATTTTTGTGTCTGCATGTCCACAGTAGTTTGCAGAGTTTGTTTTGGGAAAAAGACCTGTTGGTAATAGCATAAAAGTATTTTTACTTTTGGATGCCCTATACATCTGCTAGCTGCAGTTAAGAGTCCTGGCTTATTAGGTTTCGTTTTCTACAAGGACTCCAGAGCAGTGCTTTGCAGACTTCTGTGCCCACACTTCCCTTTTGGTGGCAAGGAAAGCTTTCTGTGTAACTACAGCATGTGAATGCCACTGCTTTGTACCTCACATGCTGCTTGTAGTACCTTATCAGTGAGGCTGAAGAAGCACAACATCTGTGGGGCCTTCCAGTTGTAATAATCTAGTTCTGTATAAATGACAAGAGAAGGAGAGCAGAATCCAAATAGCCTTCTCGACTTCTTGCTTCATTCTGTCTGCCCCACTGGTGTTTCATAATCTGTTGTTTCTGGATCACTAGCAGTCCATAAGACAGCACAACGTGATCTGTGGAGTGTTTGCAAGATACAAATTCATGTGTTCCCACACATGCAGACAAGCAAACAGCCTGGAGGGAGTAAAAGAATGAGGGTAATAAACATTCAAAGTTCAGTCTCATTTCAGTTTGGTTGTAAGTAAAGGACATAGCAACAGCACTGCTGGAGGAAAGCCATGAGCTTAAAAACTTCGCTTTAAAAAACTTAAAACTCTGCTTTAAAAACATTACAGTCCTCATCATTAAAAAGAGGTGAGAAGGACCAGTCAGGAGTGTGGAAAAGAAACAGACTTGTATCCATACATTGCAGTATGTATAGACTATGCTATCCAATAAACCATGATGCTTCTAAAGAAAGAGTTTTGGGCAGTGATGGCAGTGGAAGAGTCTCTGTTTCTTTGGGTCCTCTGAAATACATGACTCTTAGGGCTCTCCAGGGTGAAGTTGGAGGTATGTCTGCAGTTGCCTTACTTAGCTGAAGGATTTTAATTTGTTCATGTGTAGGTGAGATGCAATTTTAAACCAATTATTTTAAAGCTCCATGTTTATTTGCTATTCACGGAACGGAAGTATGACAGCCTAAAAAAATGTTGGAGACACATCCTATAGTCAGAGTTAGAATAGGATTTCTATTTCGATCCTGTACATTTTTTCAGTTTATATTTCCTTCTTTTTCCCAGAATTAGAAATGAATGCAAGTTCTTTCAAACTTGATTTGAGAAAAAGAAAACTTGATAGTTTTTCAATTCCCTTGTTTGACCTGAGAGGAGATTTAATCCTTGGCCTGCAGTGATCACCTAGGCTATCGGGGAAGAAGTGAAATGTTTTCTTAGCACAGAAATTCAAGCTTCCTTGGAACACGAACGTGTATCAGTGAGGGAAGTGTGGGTTTTAACAGGTTGATGACTTCTTGTTGAAAGTAGTTGTGATATAGTGGGTGATCCTTGCAAAAGTTCAGGTTATAACACAGGAGTTAGGAAGTGAGAAGGAAAGTACCAAAACAAGTTAAACTTGTTTTGGAATCTTTTTATATTCTGATGTTCTCTGCTTGTCAAAACCTAAATCCTGTGACATGGGGAGGTCAGTGAAGAACAGGAGGGAGGACACTATTTGTTTCCTATTTGTTTCCTATTTGTGTCAGACATTTGGCCTCATAGAAAAGCCAAACTCAGAGAAGGTACCTGTGAAGTGAAAGGGTGAGAGACCAAGTTCAGACGGGCAACAAAGGCTGTTTCCTTTCCATTCTTGTGTGGGAACTGAGGCATTTTTTGTTGCTGCCACATGCTGTGAGAACAAAATGGAAGGATGTGGACCTCAGCTGCATGATTCACTCTTCTGTCCTTCCTCACTAGTAGCTGTGAAAGTCAGGGAGGACAAGATTCACTTGCATGCACCATACTTCTCATTGGCCTGTTGTTTATTCATATGCACATGGGTATGGGGCAGAGGAGGTATGGGTGGGATCAGCTCTGACGACTTTCTGTGAAGATTTTCTCATGCCACAGTGAAAGCTCTTCTAGACTCATAAAAATCTTGTAGAGGTATCCAGAATTGCCTAACAAGAAAGGCTACATCCCAGGAAATCATTCATTCTTACTAGGAGGGGAGCCCTGGGGCCTGAAAACAAATTAACGTTTTTTATCTGCCTCATCTTAAATGCAGTGTGGTAACCAGGTGTCATGAGATATGAAGTTCAGGTATTATAAAGACAAGTGCTGTGAAGAGTCAGTGTCATACTAGAGAGGAGTCAAAAAGTCCCTTTTACTGAAGGCTGCTATCTGAAGAGCTGAGAACTTGCCCTCCTAGCATGCTGCACAGCTGGATTGTAGCACAGTTCTAAAAGGAAATAGCCATCCTGCTCTTCTGAAAGCAAGCTCTTCAGTACATTCATTTCCATAGATTATAAAAAAAACAGCTTTGTGGCTTATATAAGAACATGGAAAGCAATGGCTTCCTTTTACTTCTCAACTCTCTTTAGGTGAATGTGGAGTCTTGGTCTAAGAAAGGAGAGTAGGTGCCACTGCTTATGTCTCCAGTAAATTATGCTAGCATAATGATACATAGGCTGATGTCAGAAAAACTATAGCTTTGTGATTCCATGACAACTTCTAGTATGAGTTCAAATTTCAGGCTGCCAAGAGAGTGAGATACTGAAACACTGGAGAAAGAGTTGGAACTCTAGTAGATCTTTGTCTTTCAAACTGAGTTTCACAAAGCTGAAGCTGCAAACCAGCACTAGAAATATTACTACTGCAACACTGCTCTGGTGTGAAGCAAGTCCACATTTAGTCAGAAATTTAACTTGCAGTACCAGCAGAAGCATTCTTACCTGGAGGCCTTTTTCTGGGTAGTGCCCTCACAAATATCTTTTCTCAAAATTTCCAGGGATCAGCCTTCAGATATCCTAGCTTTCTCCTCCCTCAGTACTTCAAATTCCTTTGACTTTGATTTTCTAAATGAACATTAATGACTTTTAATGCCTTTTGTTGCTTTATTTATTGATTTATTTCTCCTTAGGTTTGAAAGTGTAAGTGACTTTACCTCAGAGCTAGAAGACAGTGATGATCCAACAGCTTATGTCACCAATCTGACATACTACCACCTGGTCCCATTTGAGACTGATATTCTGGACTGAGGCTGCTCAGTGACACAGTCAGCCAGCGTCCAGCCAACCTCTTCCTCCATGGGCTCTGTTGTGTCCGGCGTTGCGTCTCCATGAATAAATCCGTGCAGCCAAGACCAACCACAGAGAAGTTGCAGCATGTATGCCACAAAGCTGCTTTTGTAGCCTGGCCCTCTGTTGTGCGTTATGGAGACATCTTGTAAGGAGGTGACTGTTTCACTGCTGACAGACAACAAGCTCATTTTCCATGAAAGCAAGGCAGCAGAGGCCCCTTGGGGCTCAAGGAAATCTCTGCTATGTCTGTGGGAGCTGCCGCTCTGATGCAGCCCTGGGAAAGGCTGTCACCCATGCTCCTTGGCTTGCAGCACGAATTGAGGCTTCCTCTTTCAGGATACTGCCAGGAACTTCCCCAGATGGCGTGACCACACTTTTTATGCTGTGTAAGCAAGAAGGCAAGCAAACCAGCTGGATGCTGTCAGTTCCCTCTGCGGTTGCTTAGTATGAGGTCTTGTGGGTCACTTTTTGCTCAGCTACCAGATGACTGGTGCCTTACACAAGATGTCAGAAATACCATTGAGTGCCTCCAGGAAGCAGAACTCATGAGCTGACCGCTTTGCTTCTTTTAACCATGAGTTTTTATATAACTGCTGAAGAGGCAATTACTCTTTCCTGGAATACTGAAGCAGACAACAGCTGGCATTGCAGTGGACTGGGCATGATGTTTGGGTACCTGTAGAATTTCAGAGAGCTGGAAATCTGATGGAAAAGCTGAGCAGCTAAGAACAACCAGGGCCATGGCAGGCACTCTGATATGATTTATTTTTTTTTATGTGGACCAGCAAACATGAATGGTGCTTACAGTTGTTTACATCAGAGAGATATTTCCCTATGCATATTTCTCCCCAGAGGATGAGGAGGAACACAATGAGATTTTGTTGTGTTTGGACTGGAAAAGAATGATAAGCTACAGTGTGTATACAATGGTAGGAACAACACTCTCCACTGCCAGCCTGGCTCAAGGAGTCTTGTCTAGCTTTTCGAGATCTGCCTGCAGGGCCAGATGCAGGCTTCGTTGTCATGTAATGCCATGGATTTTGGTGGAGGTAGGACGGTGTGAGCATGAGTGCAATTGGGCCCTGCAGCCTCTTGACTACTGAGTGGTGCAATGTTAAAATCTCCTTGGGGTCTCTCACTCTTGTGGAGCAAATCCCAGCTCTCACTGTGGGTGCTTAACACTCGCTGATGTGGCCGGTCCTTGGTCCTTGAGGTCTTTGCCAACTGTTTGCGAACATGAATTTGAAAGGATGGAAGTGAGAAGGAATGCATTTTGGACTTGTTCCTTGATAAAGGGGCTTGCTTGGTCCTGATGAAGTTGATACAACTCCCTTCTGCAGACTTTTCATTTCTATTTACAAAATTTGCTAATGTAAATAATAAATTATTGAGAATCCTAATGCTTTTACACAGTATGTTTTTTGAATATATTTTAATGAAATAAAATACAACTCACATTCAGTACACTTCTGCAACTTAAACCAGCTGCTTCCTTTTTTCTTCTTTTTTTTTTAAAATTTATTCTTCTTTTTCCATTTGAGGATGATTTCCCAGCTTTGCCAAGTCCTTTTTCTAGTAGTTTTGGAAACATGCTGAGTTTTGGGAGTTCTTTCTGTGCTCCACATGTTACCCATACAGTAGGTAAAATGCATACCTGTGGGAAACCTCTCCACCTCACTGTTGATCTGGTGTCTAGGTGTATGTGGTTTAGTGGCACTAAACTTAGTGGAGAAATTCTGCATTTTCAAGGCCGTAAGTAAAATAGAATCTGGCAGTTATTCTTTTTAAAGATAAAGCATATTTTTAAATATTAAATTTCTGGAATAGAAAGGGTTACGTTCTCACCTGTGCAAAGGCTTTCTGAGCAGTCTCTTTAATTAGAACTGGTAAGGTTTGTTGTTTATTTACTTGTTTTGCTCGTATTAGTTTTAACTTTTCTGTCAGTGCTTTCACTTAATCACAATGGAGTAGAAATAACATCTAATAGACGTGTGCATTAGATTGGGAATTGGAATATTCTATTTAAATTCCTGGCTTGCTGTCAGCCTGCCATGTTGCCTCCCTGATTTTTCCTTGGGTAATAATATTTCAAAAAGCAACAAGTGTCATTGGATTTTGATGCTATATTGTCCCCTGATTAATTTGAATTTTCCTATGAATTTTAACCTCATGGTAACTACCTTTTTTAAAGCACTTTAAAATACATGTATTAAAACATAAATAGAAAAGCATTGCTAATTTTTAAAATGTACAACCACATTCCTCATATCAAAACCAACTAAGTGTCATGCACAGTAAAGTCCTCAGGGAAGAGGGAGTCCAATGCAAAGGAACTAATCAACAATCAGAAGTTGTGCTCATTTCACTTGGATTTTTCAAAAGCCTTTTTGATTAAGTATTTTTCAGATATGGTGTGATTTATTTTTCTTACTGAACAAAGGAATGCAAATGATCATGTGTATTACTCTGTTCATAGAGTCAATTTGAAAACCATTCTGTGGTTAAATCACAGGATTTCTCAGGATTGTGTGTCTACAACTGAGAGAGGTTCAGAGTATGAATTATGCATAAGGTTGGTTCACAAGTACAGATACCTTACTGTTGATCAAAAATAAATCTTAGTTTGAACACATGATAGAAAAGGAGCAAAGAGAATGTTTTTCTTTTCCTTTTCAACCAGCTATAATTACAGACCAGTAACATCATGGAAGAAGATAATCTAAACTCATTGTCCAGATATTACTCCATGAAATTTTGGCTTTTTACATAGCAGAATGCTTCCAACTGTGCTTCAGTTCCCATTCTGTTTGGTAGTATGTTGTGGCAATATTATAAAGAGAGCATCGCTTACAACAGCACATGGGTTCTTAGAGTAATTCTGAACGCTTTAGGTGTGGAAGGGATGTTGGATCCAGAGGATAGGCCTGCAGTGTAGCAGTTTAAACATAGGTAGTTATGGAAAATCTGTAGTCAGAAGAGAATGTTTTGCTATCAAGACAGAATAAGGCTTTGGTATAAAGGTTATGGTTAAAAATGTGGTTAGTTAAGCTAGTGCTGAAGAGGAAATATATTCCTCAATCAATGAAATGTGGTAAAGGGCAAACAGGTATGAGGTACCTGATTACAAATGCATGTAAGTTGTGAATAGTGTACTAAGATGTAACCCTATTACTTATTAGAGATAACATAGCCCTAAGCTTATGTGCTAATTATGAGAGAGTGGACCTGGCTCTCTTAGAGAATTTTCTGGGGAGCAGAGAGCCCATCTGAACAATTCTCACTTTGCTGAGAACAGGAGAGCTCCAGCTGAAATCTTTACTCTTACCATGCCCTGATACTGTCACTCCTCTGTTCAGGGCCAGCGGTTCTCCAGCTCATGTTTTATAATACTCTGAATTACTCTTTGAGGCTGGACTGGCGCATAGTTCATCCACAATGCCAAAGGGCAGAAGGCCACTGCAGGGCAGATATGCACCTTCTGCTGTGTCCTGCCAGGGCCTGAGCCACTCTTTGGCTTCCCTGTAATGTCAACAGTTAGAGGAGACCTGGGCCTGTTGTACATGCCTCATCTGAAGCATCAAGTGCTTAGAAGCAAATCAAAGATGGCAAAGTGGAAATCAACGTGCTCAGCCTGTGGGTCAAATGTGTTTCTTAACTTAGACTGACTCTCTTTCAAAACAGTCTTCCAAACATCTGTTGTGGGGTAGGAGGATTTTTTTCCTTCCACAGAGCCCTTTTGGGGAATTTTTAAGAGGATTCATGTCACAACAGAGCCTCTCAAAGAAGAAAGAAAACTATTTTTTAAACAAAGTCAATACCTAAAAACCTATTTTAGCTCACTTCCCTTTCTTTGACCTTGGTGACTGCAAAAAGACATTTCTGTCTTCTGGCAGCTGCTTCTTTGTTGGGGAGATATTTAAAAAAAAAAAAAAAAATGGTCTGGAGAAACAGGGATTCATCCTGAAATCTCTCCTATGGGTATTTGCCTAAATATTTGTCCTGGGTTGGTTGTCAGCAGGCTGCTGGCACTGCTTTCTGGATCCCATCTGTGAGGAAGAGCTTGTGTCCATGGATCTAGTGGCTGCCTGATGCACTACAGCCCTGGATTGCTCTTTCCTGGGGTGGAGAGGAGCACAAACCAGTGCCCAGGCAGGGCCAGAGTGTCCTAGAGCACAGGCAGGCTCTCCCATCCCTTGTTTCATGGTCGCTGGTGGGGAAGTGGTCATTTCCATCAGCTGGTGCTGCCAAAAAGGAATTAAAAGAGTGGGTTTGTACATGACTTGTAGCTGTGGTGGCGGGTGGTTAGCACACATCTGTCTGTATGGGGATGCTCTGCCCATTTATATGGTTGTATATGAATAATCCTCTTGATATACTGATGGCATAAACACACTGGCAAAAGCTACCAGCAAAGCACAGTCCCCGCATTGCTGCACAGCCACTTGGCACCTTAACTGGAAAGAAATGTCTCAACAAGCAGGCTAAGAGTGCAGGGCTTCCCCTCGGGGCCCTGCTGAGGCCATGTTGTCAGCCACAGCAGCCTCGTGCCCAGCCTTTGCCAAGGCCCTGCAGTCCTGGCTGCAGGGGAGAGCGTGTGGGCCTGAACTAACGCCGGTCTCGGCTGGGGTGCTGTGATGACTGGCGGTGGTGGGGGATCCCTGTGGGGCTGGCAGGGCAGGGGCTGGCCAGGAGCAGGGAACTGGGGCAGTCCCTGACACCAGGCACATCCCTGGGGACAAGGATGCGTCAAGGACAGGCTGGGACATGGGGCTGCTGTGGGGAGCTGGAGGCTGATGGCCAAAGGCTGGTGGCCCCAGGGGGCTGACATGAGGTCCTGGGCCACAGGCAGGTGGGGGGACCCCAGGGACAGGCAAGGACAGCCAGGCCTGTGGGGGACCCAGATACTGGGTGCTCGGCACTTTTGTCCTGCATGTTTTGAAAGTACACTTGTTTTTTGCATTGCAGCAAACAGTTAACCAGGTAC